GTTCCTACTGAATTCCTACGTACTCCAATAATTGGGCTATCTCTTTCATTAATGGATTTGTTCCTGTGAATGAGAACTCTGAATCTGTTTGAACCCGTCTCCTCATCAAACAGAATCACTGGGTCTATCAAGTATCAGTGAACCAACTGAAGTAGCTCATTGGCTTTAGGAACAAGATGCAAAGAAGGATACAAATTTTTATTCAGAATCAAATCTAAATATTACACCTAATTATTTGGTTATACATTAATCAAATATATCTAGTGATATATTAGTATTTTAAATGGAAAGATATTAGGTAGAAAATGGAAATCCATTTCTTGGGGATGGCAAGTCTGATGATTTAAGTTCAAATCCTGAGATCTATATCATAGAAGATGAGAAGTGACACCTATGTGTTGTCTCTGACAAATAGACACACAGACACAGACACAGAGAGAGAGAGAGGGAGCGAGAGACAGAGAGACAGCGAGAGAGAGAGAGAGAGAGAGAGAGAGGCAGACAGACAGACAGACAGACAGACAGACAGGCAGACAGGCAGAGAGACAGAGAGGAGAGAGAGAGAAATATCATTTTAACAACCCACTTTTTCAAGCTCCTGTTAACTTTACATATTTATGTAAACCAAGGTATTTTTTCTTTGGTCTTGGTTTTGTTTTGTTTTGAGATAGGGTTTAATGTAATGTAGGATGACACTTTGTAGCCATGAATGACTTTGAACTTCAGATTCCCCTGCCTGCACCTCCAGAGTGCTGGAATTACTAGTGTGCTGATCACACCCAGTTTATATTGTGCTAGGATCAAACTGAGGCAAACACTCTATCAACTGAGCTATAAAGTTCGGTTTCTATGTAAGAAACAGGGCAGCAACATATGTATATATGAAATTATAAAACAGTTTTCAACTTTCGCAGATTTTATAAGTGTAATATGTAATATTTTGTGTTTATTAATGTTAGAGTAATATAATTTACCATAATCTAACATATATTTAAGATACTTTGGGGATATTTAATTCAATATGCCTAAAACATTTACTTAATATTTAATTAATAGGCATCTAATCAATTTCCTCTTATATAGATAAATCATGTGCATGTGGTGTGTGTCTTTTTTAACTTATGCATTATGTTTATTTGTATCCAATTATGCATGAAGTCAAAAATTTTACAAGTTATGTTTCAGGAAATTGTATCTCACTATCCATCACACTTTCTCTTTTCCAAATAAATGTGATTTTTTTGTTTGATTTTGTTGAAACAGTATCTCATGTATCACAAGCTGGTATGTAACTGAGGATGACTTTGAATTCTTGATTCTCCTGCCTCAACATTCCAAAAGTTGGGTTTACAGGTATGGGTTACCATGACTGGTTAGGGTTATCAGTCTACAACATGAAAACCTGTCTCAAAAAGGGGGAGCAGAGAAAGAGTAAAAAAAGCAATAAAATTAATTAGAAAAGTTCTTTGACTGTTAAAAACATTTGCTGTCTGTTCCACATATTTGTTGTAATAATTTATCACTATTTTCAGAAACTATTAGGAATTATCAGAAAATTGAAAGTCATGACAATTTGCTCATTGGCCAACATAGTTGATTCTTACATAATTTTAACAACTATATAAAGTGATACTGTTTTAAACTTGGTGATTTATATAATATTCTACTTATAAAATTACTTTTCTGGGCCTGTCTAGAGTTTCAAATAACCTCAACTTAAAGGAAACCAGCAAGCATTAATACTGGGCATCAGTGAGTGTGCCTACTGTTTATTCTTCGGCTATGTACCAACTTTAAGAATTTGCTCTAGCCCTTAATTATACTGACTGAGACAGTGATCATTTTTAATTTCCGAGAGGGGGTAATTAATGTTTTACCCTCAAGAGGGAAATCAGTTTTTGCTTAAATATAGATTGAAGAGCCGGAGAAATGGCCCAGCAGTTTAAGAACTCTTGTTATTCTTCCAAAGGTCTAGAGTTCAGTTCCCAGCACCCACATCCAGCAGTCTACAAACACCTATAGCTCCAGTTCCATGGGATCCAACAAAAACCTCTTCTGGCCTCCAGGGTCATCTGTAAACACACGCACACTCACTAAATCTTTAAATATAGATTATTTGTACTCATTTTCTATTTGTTGTATTTGGGTAACTTTATCAATCCAGACAGAAATAAAATCTTGATGTCAAGTGACAATGACTTGTCTACTTTTGGAGTATCTTTTGAAAATCTACTCTTGGATTATCTATTCAAAATCTATTTCCACGTAAAAATAGAAAATTTTTAGACTCTCTTAGACTATTAAAATTAGTATTTTTACTATTACTAATAACAATACTATTAAAATATTTAAAATATTTTAGACTATTAAAAGTTGTCTATTCTTGGATTATCAATTAAAACCATATTAAAATAGAGATGAGCATGAATTTAAAATTCTTTCCTTGGAAAATTGTATAATCTCAATAGCACAATGAAAGATTTTAGAACCCTGGTTTCTAATGATAGTTTTGGCCCCACCAATCAACATGAATGTTTTACTATAGAAATAGTCAAATCTTGAAGACATAAGCAACTCAGGTTCCAAATGGAAACTAAAAAATTAACCTGGGTTTTGACTTTCACCAGATGTCATTTCATCATTTTCCCAAAGGAACTCACTCTTCTCTTTTCATCTGCAGTACCAGATAATTACCCAAAGGAGGGAGTGGTCCCCATGGTGTTGTCAAGAAAACAGGTTACGTAGCCAACTTGTAGGTACTATCATTGATGCTAAAAGATCAGTCCTGTTTTCTCTGCTCTGGGCTTTAAGAGCATCCCCATTCACCTTGCTTACTTTCTGAGGCCTTCAGGAAGTCCTCAATGTAGGTAGGGCTTTGGTTGACAGCTCCAAAAAGTCTATGGAAAGCTGGATACTTGGCCTCAATGGCAGCTAGACAGAAGATGGATACTAATGCTGTTTCCTATTGAAGTTGACTGTTTACTCTGGGTGATTTCATCATTGTACCTTTTCTCCAAAGCAGTGATGTGCCATTAGTCTTATCACTTTAGTCAAACTATTAGAAAAAGAAACAAATGGTCTTTATACATCTTCAGAAAAAAAACTATAGTGCACAGAAAACGAGTTGAGAACTTGGTTTTCAGTCTGTCATTTATCAAGTTAAGACCTTTGTAACCATTGCTACATTATTCCCAGTGCTTTAATTTTATAATCCTACTTTTTCCTACATATATCAAATGTAGTACCACCACAAAATACCAGATAACAAGATAATAATAAGAAAAAAATCTGTCATTCCTGAATTGTTGGGGGAAAGTTGAAAACAGGTGAGCTTAAAGGACTAAAGTATGGGGGCATTGCTTTTGGTTTTTCACTTTGGTGTATTTATCTGTGGAAAAATTAACTTACTATAGTACCATCAATTTTAGAAAATTTTCAAATAACACTTACTTAAGATATGTGTTATTTGAAGACCAACACATCTGCTAAAAGCCCTCAAGTTCTGCTGTTATTTTGTTCCTGGTTTGTTTACTCATTGAGCATTCTATGGTGAGTTCCACTTAACCTCACACAACAGCCTGAATATGCTATAGTATCCACTTAAGAATCCTCATTGTCTCATTATTTCTGGTTATCAAAAAGATGACAGACTGAAGGTATGAGTTGTTTCCTTCAGAGTCAGCAGATGTCTGCACTCTTGCCTAACTCTGTAGTATATCATCTTGGTGTCTTTAATCCAATTCTGACTGTGTCATTTATGAATAAAGCTCTCTTCATTTTTTAGACAGTTTCAGATCAATGCATTTTAAAATTACTCTTTTCTAATTGCTTTATTTCTTCCTTCCTTCCTTCCTTCCTTCCTTTCTTTCTTTCTTTTTTGAGACATGTTTTCTCTGTGTAGCTTTGGCTGTCCTGGAACTTGCTCTGTAGACCACAGCTGGTCTAGAACTCAGAGATCTGCCTGTCTCTGCTTCCCAAGTGTTGGGATTAAAAGAGTGTGCCATCACAGCCCAGCTCTAATTACTTTTTATTTCTTACATTCTCTTTCACTTTCTCCCTACACATCACTCTTGCTGTTCATCTCACTTTTACAATTGTTTTAACAATTCTAAATGGTGAATAGAAGACAAAACATAGCCAAGTGACAGATTTCTGAACAGACTATGCACCGTAGCCTTAGCAACTTAGGTTGAAAGATGCTGTTACTCACCAAAAAGTGAATAGTGGGAATATCATTTGGCAGACCTGAGATACTTAGCAGACACAAAAGGTAATACAGACACAGTAAAGAAAATGCCTGCTTATACCACATTAATAAGATCGCCAAAGCTTCTATTAGCTGATAGTTGTCTGAATCTTGTTTTACGAAAGCTCATTTCTGAATTCAGTGTTGGTTGTCATCTTTTAAAAGGTGTACATTTAAGGCATATAGAAGACATCAGCTAGGGTCACAACACATCTGCTCACTCTGTTATATGGAGATTGGAAGAAAGGGACCTATCCACCTATGTGTAAAGAAAAATTAGTTGAGTTGGGGTAACTACTTACAAATATGTTAGCAAAGAAGGATCTGATGTTAAAGTTAAAATACATTCTCCCTTTAACAAAATATTGTAGCTGAATGTTGTGGTACTTGCTTGTGATCTTAGTACTTGGTAAGTGAAGATAGGAAGGTCAGGAATCCAATGTCAGTTGGCTACGTAGAAAGTATGAGGTCAACCTGGGTTACATGAGACCTTGTCTCCAAAAATCAAAAATTAACTCTTTCAAATTAAAAGGTGATTATGTCAAAATTTCACAACATGAAATAATTTGTGTCAATGGTGAGCACTCCTTACTTCTGGGTGGAGAGTTGTCTCCTATGTATGGCAATATTAGATTCAGTGACCGAATGTTCCTCCCTGGATTCTGTTGCTGCATGTTTCTTAGGAAGTAGAGATTAACTATTTCTCATTTGGCTCCTACCAGCTGCACCAACCTGATGATGTAAAAGAAAGGCAATGGAGAAGTCGAATGACAGCACTGAGTACGGTTTCATCTTAGTGGGCTTCTCGGATCGACCTCGCCTGGAGATGGTACTCTTCGTCGTAAATTTTACTCTGTATTCGGTGGCTGTGCTGGGAAACACAACCATAATCCTTGTGTGTATATTGGACCCGCGGCTTCACACCCCAATGTATTTTTTTCTGGCAAATCTTTCATTTCTGGATCTCTGCTTTAGTACCAGCTGCATCCCACAGATGCTGGTAAACCTCTGGGGTCCAGACAAGACCATCAGCTATGCTGGCTGTGTGGTCCAACTTTTCTCCTTCCTATCTGTTGGGGGTATAGAATGCATCCTTTTGGCTGTCATGGCGTTCGACCGCTACGCTGCCGTCTGCAAACCTTTGCATTACATGGTCATTATGCACCCACAGCTGTGTGTGAGATTGGTAGCCCTGGCCTGGGGGAGCGGGCTTATCAATGCCATTGTCATGTCACCACTAACAATGACCCTGTCCAGATGTGGCCACCGCAAAGTTAATCATTTCCTTTGCGAAATGCCAGCTCTGATCAAGATGGCCTGTGTGGATGCTCGTGCGGTGGAAATGCTGGCCTTCACCTTCGCCATCCTTATTGTCCTGCTGCCCCTCACACTGATTCTTGTCTCCTATGGCTACATCGCTGCTGCTGTGCTGAAGATCAAGTCGGCTGCTGGAAGATGGAAAGCTTTCAACACCTGTAGCTCCCACATCACTGTGGTCTCCCTATTCTATGGAAGCATCATCTATATGTATATGCAGCCGGGAAACAGCTCTTCCCAGGACCAAGGGAAATTTCTCACTCTCTTCTATAATTTAGTCACTCCCATGCTGAACCCTCTCATCTATACCTTAAGGAACAAAGAAGTGAAAGGGGCACTAAAGAAGGTTTGTGGGAGATAGTGATAGACAGAAGGATATAATGAGTTACAAAGTCCCAAGGTGGTTTTTTTCCAAAGTTATCTATTGTTTGTTTATAATAAATCCAACTAATGCATCAGACATTCTAAAGTACTTGTTTTGGTTTGGGTTTGGTTGAGACAATCTCATTTAACCCAGGCTTTCTTCAGACTCGCTAAATAGTCAAAGATGACCTTGAACTCCTGATTCCCATACCTCCATCTCCACAGTGCTGGGGTTACAGGTGCATGCCAAGCTGACTCTTGAGTAGTTATAAGATGCTAAATCCACTGAACTCTGTTCCAAGTCAGTGTGAATCAGCCACAGCTACCACAAAGCAGATAAACCTTGACTTCTTAGAGTAAGCAGCTTAGTTACTCTAAGCTCTCAACAAAAAGAATAAACCCCATGAAAGTGAGTGGCTGACACAGATATAAAACAAGCGCATATTTAAATTGTATTCAAGTTAATCAATGAAAGGAGAGAGGTAATATTTGGCTTCAAAAAGTCAAACATTCAATGAATTTGTAAAGAACAAAGAAATGTCCAAATAAATTTGCAAATGCAGGCAAAATTAGCTTCTTAGTCTAAAAAAAGAAAGACAATTCAGTTATTCTCAGAAGGGAAGGAAGGATGTGTTCATCCTCTTGTTGGACACTGTCACTATGAATTCAAAAGGGGAAGAAACCAGTGGTCACCGTGAAAATGATCTACCTACCACTTGGGAAAGACAACACGGACAAGCAGCTTGGGATGCAGCTCAGTGGTAGAGCACTAGCCCAGTCTCCACAAGGGCCAAGATTTGAGCCACTGCAATTCTTTGAATACCCAGGGGAGAGAAGAGGGGAAAACAAGAGAGGGAACTGTAATAAATGTGTTATATAACCAGAATGGAGTATTTGGGGGCACAAAGGGGATAGCAAGTTGGAGGAAGGGATGGAAGAAAAAGGAGGGTAGGGGCAATTAGAGTAAAGGATAATGATTAGTGTGGCAGGGAAATCCTGTAGTTGTCTGGTCTGTGGACCTGTAATGGTGGCCACACCCCTTTGGGTGTGGTTTCAGGCAGAGGGAAGCAGACAGAGAGGAGCTTGAGGCATGTCTTTGCTTTGTGTGCTCTTTTTACCGGGTCAGGAGATCCGGTAGGGAGAGCAGAGAAACACTCCTGTGGCTCTTTGTATTTTTCTGTGTAATTGCTCCCCAATAAGAACCCATTTGTCATTTATCTTGGGTCTAGTGAGATAATTACATCCTTACCTTCAAAATTCATTCATTTGCATGCCAACTACATTATTAGTTTTAAAATGTCTTCATGGATCTGGTTAAATAAAGGCTTTTTTTTTTTTACAAAGAAAATATTTGCAAATATTTTTATTAGATTTTTGTTTATTTTTATTTTAGAAGCACCCTGATTTACATATTCATGCCCCCATTCCCTTGCCCTCCCATCTTCCCATGCTTCCCACCGGTCCCCCCAACCCCCCCACTCCCCAGTGATAGTGAAGCCCTTCATGGGGGATCTTCAAAGTCCATCACATCATTTGGGGGAGGGTCCAGGAAATAAAGGCTTTTAAAAACAGAATATAAAAGGTACGTAATACATAGACAAAATAATAAAAGTAAGATGCATCAAAATTTTAAATGTTCACAGAAAGAGATAGTGCTGAGAACTTTAAACCAGAGAAACAACTTCTGTGAGTTCTCTCCATACCACACATATACCTAATTTTAAAAATATTTTAAATACTTTATGAAATACATTATGATCATATTCTTTCACCTCCTAGCTCCTCTCCACCTCCCTCCTCACACTCCTTCAAGTTATCTCTCAATATCTGGAAAACAACAAAAAATCAAAATATACAAACTTTTAAAAAAATCAATAACGCAAAAATACCAAAACAAAAAAAAAAATAAACACACACCAAAAAATGGAATCTGTTTTGTGTTGGCCAGCCAGCTGCTTCTGGGAAGGAGACCTTCCCTAGAGTGGATGATATACCCAATAACATTCCATTGTAGAAAACTGATTTTTCCTTTCCAATCAGGTATAAATTGCAAATAGCTTCTTGATTAACATGGGATCCCATGCCACTTCCCCCTCTCAGTGCTGTGGTTTTTGTCTAGTTTGAACCTGTTCAGGTCTTGTGCATACTGTACAGTCTCTGTGAGTTCATATGTGCATCAGACCTAATGTGTCTGGAAGATGTTGTTTCCTTGGAGTCATCTACCACCTCCAATATTAACAATCTTAGTCTTGTGTATACTGGTCCAGTCTCTGTGAGTTCATATGTGCATCGGTCCTGTTGTATTTGGAAGACACTGTTTCCTTGGAGTTATCCACCACCTTGGGCTCTTGCAGTCTTTTTGTATCCTCTCTGCATAGATCACTGAACTTTGAGGGGAGGTGTTGGGGCCCATAAAAGTGGCTTCATTCCATCTTGACATAAGGTCAGAGAGATCAAGCCTATTATTTCTCCTTCAAGGTCAAACAACAGAATGTTTGACCTAAGTTGTGGCTAGTGTGTGTCTTGCCTTGACAACAGGATATTTGGCCTAAGGAGTAACTAACATATGTCTTACATTGACAACAAGATATCTTGTTTAGGTAATGGTTACTTTATGTTTTGGATACTGAGAAGGTAATACACTTGCTTATTCTTTATATATTGGTAAGAACATCTTTTGCCTTCCCCCCTTTTGATTGGGATATATAAGAGCTTTGGATAATAAACTTGGGGCTGATCCTGGTATTCACTAGGTGCCCTACTGACTCTATCTCTTGTTTCTTGTATGCTTCTTTTCTCAATCCATACTCCCCTTCTCAGGTATGGACCAGAGAGATGCCTTGCAACATGGGTGATAAAGACATCCAATTTAGGGCTAAGTTCAAAGCTTCTCACTATCTGCACATTGTACAGTTGTGGGTCTCTGAGTTAATTCCCATCCACTGCAAGAAGAAACTTCTCTGATGAGGGCTGAGTGATGGTCTTCTCAATGAGTATAGTGATACATCATTAGGAGTCATTTTATTGCTTTGTTCCTTTAGAATAATAGTAGTAGATTTCCCTGTAGGTCCACGACTTATTTAGTTTCAGGTTCTTGATCATTTTGCCATTGTTAATTATGAGTTCCATCTCATGGAGCAGGTCTTAAATCCATCAAAAAGTGACTGGTTATTCCCATAACATTTGTGCCACTGTTGTACTACTATGTTGGGCCCCAGCCCCATGGGGTTTCTGTGAGTTGCTGGTCAGCCTACAAGTGCAACTTGTTTTCCAGTCCAAGTGCTTTCTGTTTTCTAGTCCTGGCTTACTGCCCTGGCCTTGACCCTCTGACATCAACATCTAGCAGGAGGAAAACAACAATCTCTTCTACTTGGGTTTTTTTTCCACTGTGCTGAAAACACAGCTCCTCCCTCCTACAAGGGAGAGACCTCTTAGCACTTGCAATGAAGACACACACACACAGACACACTCTCCTGGCAATAAAGGCAGCACATGCATTCTCTTAGTACAAACAGTTTGTACGTCTGGTCTCTCTTTTCCTGATACCTTGGAGTTGCTTGTGGCACTGGCACCACAATTGGAGGTTCCACAATGATCCAGAGAGACTTGGAAAGACTGGGAAAGATCGGCCAGAAAGAAGACTCAGGGGAGGAGAGACTCGAGAAAGAAAAGAATTAAACAGGTACCTCAACTTCTAACAGTAAAATTGAATGGACAAATCTCCAGGGTTTATTTGAGAGCTCACCCTCAGTTGGAGGGTGGATTGGATTAAATCTCCAGGCCTTCGCCTGACACAAAGGTCAGGAAAGTAAGGGGACCCTGAGAGATGGCCCTCAGTTGGAGGGTGGATTGGATTAAATCTCCAGGCCTTCGCCTGACACAAAGGTCAGGAAAGAAAGGGGACCCTGAGAGATCACCCTCGGTTGGAGGGTGGATTAAAAGTGGGTGAATTGAAAATTGGTAACGGTTAATAAAGGAGGTACTGGTATTAAGTAAAAGAAAAGGAAAAGATAAAAGTATGTAGAATGGAAAATACACAGAGAGTCTGGATACTGTGTACAGTTGTGGTGTCTTTAAATTGTTTAATTGCTGAGAAAGGAACAACAACTGCTAAAAGACAATTGATTATTAATGTTGCTAAATTAATCCAACTTACATGTTTTGAAAATGCTTTGACTTCTAAATTTAAATATAAGGACAGGTTACTTGGGAAAAGAATTTCTGACTTTGTTTCCACAGAACATAAAAAGCTGTGGGTTCCTTCCAGACTAGTATGGTTTGATGAAGCAAGACCACCTGAAGCAGTGGCCCAGGTGATCCAACACCTAAAACAGCTGAGATGATGCAGCCTTACAGACCACAAAAACAAGAACTTCAACAGGGTTCTGGGTTTGTTTTTTTGTTTTTGTTTTTTTGTCGTGATCCCCATGATATGTCAGTGCCCCTTAACAGCAGGAAGTAGTTTGGAAAGAACGACGCCCACATTCCCAAATATTGTTTATAAATGTTTGTTTTTGTATACTAAGATTGACATTAACATCCTAGTCACCTGAGATAGGTGCTAATTTATATATAAAGAAGGGGGGAGATGTTGGGCCCCAGCCCCATGGGGTCTCTGTGAGTTGCTGGTCAGCCTACAAGTGCAACTTGTTTTCCAGTCCAAGTGCTTTCTGTTTTCTAGTCCTGGCTTACTGCCCTGGCCTTGACCCTCTGACATCAACATCTAGCAGGAGGAAAACAACGATCTCTTCTACCTGGGGTTTTTCCACTGTGCTGTAAACATGTATATAAAGCTCCTCCCTCCTACAAGGGAGAGACCTCTTAGCACTTGTAATGAAGATACACACACACACATTCTCCTGGCAATAAAGGCAGCCCATGCATTCTCTTAGTACAAACAAATGGACGTCTGGTCTTTCTTTCCCTGATACCTTGGAGTTGCTTGTGGCGCTGGCACCACACTACTATATCTTGCAGGCAGAGCCCTTTTGTAGGTCAAAGAATTTGTAGCTGGAAGAAACTATTGCTTACCTTGCTCCTCTGGTACTGTATAAAGTATCTTAGACCACCATGAGTGCTAGTCAGTAGGGAGAAAATTCTAGTTGAGCATTATCTCAGCTTAATTCATTTGATAATATATGTAAGTTGTGACTTCAGCAATAGACCCTTACTATCAGAGTATGGGTAGTAGCTCAAAGTCTTGCCAATAGTCTGTGGTGTTTAGAAAGGGGTCCATGGGACCTGTTTGGCCTTGACTCAATAAAATATAACCAATTCCTGGCATGGGAGGTTTTGTTTCGTGGCATAAGATATCTAGTTGGGGCATTGTCTCCCCAATATATAATGACTTCATTTAAATTCTTTTCATTTCATATATATATTCTGATGGGTCTAAAAGGCTCAGATGTGAGGCCCAGTGTAACCTCCTGAGCCTGGCTAGAGTTTGGTGACCTGCTTTTAGCCTGTAACCTCCACGTGGGAGTGACACAACAAGGCCTGATGTAAGGTTGCCCCCTGCTTAGCTACCTGCCAGCTTGGTGGAATATTATTGGCCCTTAACTCCTCACAGCACCTTACCCAACCCTAAGAGATTCCCATTCCCTACCTCAGCCCTACATAAGTTCCTGTCTGTTGGAATAAAATAATATCCTGTTTCGACAAGTCTCCAGACTCAGTGTGTTTCTCTCCGGTAACTAGGAGAGGGCGGGGATGGGACACGGGTAAATTAGTCCACAGGTGAGTGTACCCTCATAAATTATGGGGCATCCCATCCAAATCAAATCCTACCCTGGAGTCATCACATGTCCTGCTTAAAAGTAGAGGCCTTAATCTTTCTGATAATCAAGCTTTCTAGGCCTGAGGCTGTTTGCTCAAGATACCCCCACTGAGGACCCTCCTAATGGTGTCTACCTTAAAGGGTTACTTCCCCCCTCAGCCCCCTAGGGAGAAAAGCAGGGCACTGATCCAGGAAGGCACAAAGGGAGATAAAGAAACATAGGAAAACCAAAGCCAAATCCTAGTCCCTCACACCAGCTGGAGCCCCTATATCCATCCCTAGACACTTTTGAAAGTGTTCCTAGGCCCTCTAAGGGTCTGCCACTTCCAGATCCCCCCATTAATCCTGTCTGAACCCCCTCTGCACATCTGCCTTACTGTCAGGATGTGTTTCCAGGGGAGGAATGACCAACTCTTCCCCATCAATGTTAACCTGGTGGCAGCTTCCAGGTTGCCTGGTACCCCTGGGAAGCAAATGATTTAAAGTAACTCAAAAAGGCCAGATGGACCTAATTTCCCCTGGGCAGAGACCATCCTCCAGGACTTAGCTCACCATCAATATACCACTCAGGATTGGAAGGACCTTGCTAGGACAGTGCTCCCTAGCTCCATGTTTGTGGAGTGCGGTTTTTCAGGACAAGTGTTGCATCCAGGCTGAACAAAATCAGAGAGCCTGACCTGTGGTCCCAATTACTTTTGGCATGCTTTCAGGCACCATTGATCAGTTCTCTACAGGCCTTCAACAGGCTGCCATCCCTGACCCTTATCAAGACCAGGTCCAAGCACTGGGGCTTGCAACTTGGAAAAAGCTGGAGGAGGGCCCAATGGAGTTCCCTATTTCAGGAATCACCCAGAAGGCTGGGGAGGACCTGGCCTCCTTTATAGAAAGGGTACAAGAAGTTTACAACGGAATCTCCAGCGATCCCAGCTAGGTGAGCTTGGGTCTCCAGGGGGGGACTCTCCCCACCCTCCTGACCGCCATCTGCTCGATCTTCCGGGCCGCTCCCGGCATCCAGAAGACCTGCCCACACAGGAAAGACATCAGCCCTTCCAGGCCCCAAACTCCAGCGATCCCAGTCAGCTTCAGGAAGGAAGGAGACCAGTGGAGACAGAAAGACCCCACCAGCACCCACTGGAAGAAGAAATGGGAAGAAGACAGAATAAGAGCTCACTCAGCAGTCAAAAGACCAACATGACTCCACTAGAATCTAAGGAACCAACGCCAGCAAGACCTGAAAAGCACTACATAGATGAAGCAGAGGAGACAGACCTTAAAAATCATTTTATGAAGATGATAGAGACCCTCAAAGAAGAAACAAGGAAATCCCTTAAAGAAATAGAGAAAAAAACAAACAAAAAATGCATGAAATGGGGGGGAAAATTTCAAGAAATAAAGAAATCTCTCAAATAATCTAAAGAGTACCAAGAAAAAACAACCAAACAAATGAAGGAAACAACTCAAACAGTTAAAGGATTGAAAGCTGAAATAGAAACAATAAAGAAAACACAGAACGAGGGGATGCTGGAAATGGAAAAGCTGGTAAACGATCAGGAACTACAGATGCAAGTATCACCAATAGAATACAAGAGATAGAAGAGAGAATCTCAGGTGTTGAAGACTCATTAGAAGATATACAGTTGTCAACCAAAGAAAACCTCAAAACCAATAAATCCCTAACACAAAATATCCAGGAAATATGGGACACTGTGAAGAAGCCAAACCTGAGAATAATAGGTATAGAAGAAGGCGAAGAAATACAGCTCAAAGGTACAGAAAACATATTCAACAAAATCATAGAAGAAAACTTCCCTAACCTAAAGAAAGATATGCCTATGAAAATACAAGAATCTTACAGAACACCAAATAGGCTGGACCAGAAAAAGAAGTCACCTTGCCATATAATAATCAAAACATCAAACCTACAGAATAAAGAAAAAATATTAAGAGCAGCTAAAGAAAAAGGCCAAGTAACATATAAAGGCAGACCTATCTGAATTACACCTGGCTTCTCAATGGAAACGATGAAAGCCAGAAGATCCTGGACAGATGTCCTACAAACGCTAAGGGAACAAGGATGCCAGCCCAGACTACTATATCCAGCAAAGCTTTCAGTTACCATAGATGGAGAAAAAAAATATTCCATGACAAAGCCAGATTTAAACAATACGTGTCCATGAATCCAGCTCTACAGAAAGTACTATAAGGAAAACTTAGATCCAAGGAAGATAACTACACTCACAAAGACACAGGCAATATATCATCCCACTTTACATAACACCAAAAGAAAAAGGGAGGAGAAACTACACAAAATAACTTCACTACCAATAAATCAAGCACAAACAAGAATCATCAATCAATGGTCATTGATATCCCTCAATGTCAATGGCCTCAACGTGCCTATAAAAAGACACAGACTAGCAGAATGGATACGAAGACAGAACCCATCCTTCTGCTGCATACAAGAAACACATCTCAACATCAAAGACAGATGGTATCTCAGGGTAAAGGGTTGGGAAAAGATTTTCCAATCAAACAGAACCAAGAAACAAGCGGGTGTAGCAATCCTAATATCTAACAAACTAGATTTCAAATTAAAATCAATCAAAAGAGATGAAGAAGGACATTTCATATTTATCAAAGGAAAAGTCCATCAAGATGAAGTCTCAATTTTAAACATCTATGCCCCAAATACAAAGGCACCTACATTTGTGAAAGAAACATTACTAAAGCTCAAATTGCACATAAAATCCCACACACTAATAGTGGGAGACTTCAACACTCCACTCTCACCACTAGACAGGACCTCCAGACAAAAACTTAACAAAGAAACAAAGGAACTAATAGAAGTTATGACCCAACTGGGTTTAACAGACATCTATAGAACATTCCACCCAAACACAACGGGATATACCTTCTTCTCGGCACCACCTGGAACCTTCTCTAAAATTGACCACATAATAGGAAACATAGCAAATCTCCACAGATACAAAAAAATTGGAATAACCCCCCTGTATCCTCTCAGACCACCATGCATTAAAATTAGAATTCAACAATAACACAATTTGCAGAAACCCCACAAACTCATGGAAATTGGACAATGCTCAATTGCACCATCCCTGGGTAAAGGAAGAAACAAAAAAAAAAGAAATTAAAGACTTTCTGGAATTCAATGAGAATGAAGACACAAAATACGCAAATCTATGGGGCATTTTGAAAGCAGTGCTAAGAGGAAAGTTCATAGCACTAAGTACCCACATGAAGAAACTGGAGAACAGTCATACTAGAGAATTAATAGCACAGCTGAACGTTCTAGAACAAAAAGAAGCAAACTCACCCAGGAGGAGCAGACGCCAGGAAATAATCAAATTGAGGGCTGAAATCAATCAAGTAGAAACCAGGAGAACATTGAGAAGAATCAATAAAACAAAGAGTTGGTTCTTTGAGAAAATCAACAAAATAGACAAACCTCTGTCCAAACTAACCAAAAGACAGAGAGAGAGAGAGAGCATGCTAATTAACAAAATCAGAAATGAAAAAGGGGACATAACAATGTACTCTGAGGAAATCCAGAGAATCATCAGGGCATACTTTGAAAATCTGTACTCCACAAAATTTGAAAATTTAAAGGAAATGGACAATTTCCTGGATAGATATCACTTGCCAAAACTAAATCAAGAGCAGATAAACAATCTAAACAGACCTATAACCAGCCCTTAATGAAATAGAAGCAGTCATCAAAAGTCTCCCAAACAAAAAAAGCCCAGGCCCAGATGGCTTCAGTGCAGAATTCTACCAGAAATTCAAAGAAGAGTTAACTCCAGTACTCCTCAAAGTATTCCACACAATAGAAGCAGGAGGCTCACTGCCAAACTCTTTTTACGAGGCTACAATTACCTTGATACCCAAGCCACAGAAAGACACAACTAAGAAAGAAAACTATAGACCAATTTCCCTCATGAACATCGATGCAAAAATACTCAATAAAATACTAGCAAACCGGACTCAAGAACACATCAGAAAAATCATCCACCATGATCAAGTAGGCTTCATCCCAGGAATGCAGGGATGGTTCAACATTAGAAAATCTATCAATGTAATCCACCATATAAACAAACTGCGAAAGAAAAACCACATGATCATCTCACTAGATGCTGAAAAAGCCTTTGACAAAATCCAGCACCCCTTAATGATAAAGATCCTAGAGAGATCAGGGATAACAGGAACATACCTGAATATAATAAAAGCAATATACAGTAAACCAACAGCTAACATCAAACTAAATGGAGAGAAACTCAAAGCAATTCCTCTAAAATCAGGAACAAGACAAGGCTGTTCACTCTCTCCATATCTCTTCAATATTGTACTTGAAGTCCTAGCTACAGCAATAAGACAACAAAAGGAGATAAAGGGGATACAAATAGGAAAAGAAGAAGTCAAGCTTTCACTATTTGCAGATGATATGATAGTTTACATAAGTGACCCGAAAAACTCTGCAAGGGAACTCCTAGAGCTGATAAACACCTTCAGCAAAGTGGCAGGATACAAGGTAAACTCAAAAAAATCAGTGGCCCTATTATATACAGACGATGAAGTGACTGAGAAAGAAATCAGAGAAACCTCACCCTTTACAATAGCCATAAACAGCATCAAATATCTGGGGATAATGTTAACCAAGGAAGTGAAAGACCTGTATATCAAGAACTTTGAGTCTTTAAAGAAAGAAATCAAAGAGGATACCAGAAAATGGAAAGATGTCCCATGCTCTTGGATTGGTAGGATCAACATAATAAAAATGTCCATCTTGCCAAAAGCAGTCTACAGATTCAATGCAATCCCTATCAAAATTCCTGCACAATTCTTCACAGACCTGGAAAGAACATTAATCAACTTTATATGGAAAAACAAAAGGCTCAGGATAGCCAAAACAACCCTATACAGTAAAGGAACTTCAGGAGGCATCACCATACCTGATTTCAAGCTCTATTATAGAGCTATAGTCCTGAAAACAGCTTGGTATTGGCATAAAAATAGGCGGGTAGACCAATGGAACCGAATTGAAAACCCTGATTTTAACCCACACACCTATGAACACCTTTGATTTTTGACAAAATAGCTAAAACTATACAATGGAAAAAAGAAAGCATCTTCAACAAATGGTGCTGGCATAACTGGGTACTGGTATGCAGAAGACTGCAGATAGATCCATGTTTATCGCCTTGTACAAAACTTAACTCCAAATGGATCAAAGATCTCAACATAAATCCAGCCACACTGAAACTTTTAGAAGAGAAAGTGGGAGATACTCTTCAACGACCACTTCCTGAACATAACACCAGTGGCACAGACACTGAGATCAACAATTAACAAATGGGACCTCCTGAAACTAAAAAGCTTCTGTAAGGCAAAGGACACAGTCAACAAGACAGAAAAGCAGTCCACAGAATGGGAAAAGATATTCACTGACCCCACATCTGACAGAGGGCTAATCTCCAAAATTTACAAAGAACTCAAGAAGCAAGTCTCCAAAACACCAAAGGATCCAATCAAAAGGTGGGGTACAGAACTAAACAGAGAATTCTCAATAGAGGAGGCTAAAATGGCCAAGAGACACTTAAGAAAGTGCTCAACATCCTTAGCCATCAGGGAAATGCAAATCAAAACAACTCTGAGATACCATCTTACTCTTGTCAGAATGGCTAAAATCAAAAACACCGAAGACAATTTATGCTGGAGAGGATGTGGAGAGAGGGGAACACTCCTCCACTGCTGGTGGGAGTGCCAACTCGTACAGCCACTTTGGAAATCTGTATGGAGATTCCTCAGGAAAATGGGAATCAATCTACCACAAGACCCAGCAATTCCACTCTTAGGCATATATCCAAAAGAGGCAAATTAATACAACAAGGGCATCTGCTCCACTATGTTCATAGCAGCATTATTTGTAATAGCCAGAACCTGGAAGCAACCTAGATGCCCCTCAACTGAACAGTGGATAGAGAAAATGTGCTATATTTACACAATGGAGTATTACTCAGCAGAAAAAAACAATGGAATCTTGAAATTCGCAGGTAAATGGATAGCACTGGAAGAAACCTACCTGAGTGAGGTAACCCAGTCACAAAAAGAGAAACATGGTATGTACTCACTCATATATGGATTTTAAACATGGATCAGGAGAGTGCCAGTCTGCACTTCCACTGACAGAGAGTCTGGGAAACAGGAAAGAACCTAAAAGATATACATGGTACCCAAGAGAAGAGAAATGAGGCAAGATCCTCTGAATAGATGGGGAACACGGCAAGGGGGGGAGGGGGACCTGGGAAATAGAGAGGGGGAGAAGTGGAAGAGAGTAGGATGTGGAAGAACAGGAAGGTCGACTGGGGGGGGTAGAATAGGGGGAAGAGGGAATCATAGGTTAGAAGACAGATCAGGCACCATTGTGACCTCTAGTGATCTAAAGGGATGACACCAATTGGCAAGCTAAGCAATAGTGTAGAGACCACCTCGAATGCCTATTCCTGATAGTGAACTTGATGTCTATAACCATCCTGGAGCCTTCATCCAGTGACTGATGGAAGCAGAGGCAAACACCCACAGTTAAATACTGAACAGAACCCAAGGAACCCATTGACAGAGAGGGAGGAGCGAAGAGCAAATTGGCAAAGAATGGGCTGGCAAAACCAGCAGAGACAGCTGATCCGAACAGGGGAGAACTCCTGGACCCCAGACTGACAGCTGGGAGGCCAGCATGGGACCGATCCAGACCCCCTGAATGTGAGAGTCATTGAGGAGGCCTGGGCTACCTATGGGGTCCTGAGCAGT